ATCGACTTCCGGTCACCAGATGTAGTTACGCTAATTCTTACATCTGTGATTTTCCTCGGTGACCCATATGAAGTTCCCGCAGGATTGCTTGATGATGCTGTTTGAGGGCGATGACACAAGAGCCCCAAGTTATGCAACCATCCTCGGGGCTTAATTCATCTATTCGAGTGCGAAATGCTCTTAGACGTTCATCTACCCGGTACGGCCAACCAGTTAGGAGATAATCACGCACGTTCGACAGTTCCGGGTCACCCTTTGTTTTCGCTTTTATTTCCGCTGCGAATCATCCAAGCAAGATATCATTTGTACCAATTCTCTGAAAGCTGGTGTGTGGTTTGCAACCTCCGGTAATGGAACTCGTCTGAGAGCATCGGCACAATGCTAATCCTTGAGGGAAGATATTTAAGTTGATATTGTTATCCCGCAAGTAGTAGAGCCCAGCGAAGCATCCGGAACGATGCCGTTTGGGGTATAACTTTTGATTCACCCAAAATTCCCAGTAATGGCTGGTGGTAAGTGTGTATTTCAAATCTCTACCCGAATAGGTATTGGTGAAACCGCACAAACCCAAAACGACCGCCACAGCTTCCTTGTCAATTAGGGAATAAGTTCCTTCGGTCTGTGATAAAGTCCGAGAAGCAAATGCAACTGGTTTGTTTAATTCCTTCGCGTCAGGTTGTAACAGGGCGGCTCCGACTCCGTACGGTGATGCAGCACATGTCAACGTCATGTACTTTTCGGGGTCAAAGTGGTACAAAATCGGTGGACTGGCCAATGCACTTTTAGCTTGAGGAAAAGCCAATGCCACCGTCTCAGACCACACCCACTGAGTGCGCTTGCATAACAAACCATGCATTGTAGCTGACTGCCGAACAAACCTTGAGTAGTGATGGTATATTCCCAAGAACAATCGCGATGACAGCGTTCGAGGACGTGGTTGGTTTTCGCCTGGCAAGTGTTCTTCCTATAAAAGGCCACAAACGTCCGTTTAACAACACTGCGACGTGGCGGATGTGACTCGCCAGCGAATAAAGTCACAGGCAATTACTTCACACTGGCAAGCTGACTAGGACCACATAGCACCAAGCTTTGTACAACACTACACTTTCCAATCTGCATATTTCGTCGCCAGGTCTCTTTCTGCGCAGTCATCGTCGTTCTTTACCCTGCACTCACATTAACGCAGCGTATCGTGTAATCACGGTTGGTCTGCTTCTTCATCAGTACTTTTCTAATTTATCAGCTCTAGTTCTTGATCTATTTGTGGTTGAAATGTTAATGCAATTTATGGCAGACCGACTACGCCCATACGAACGTGCCCGAACTCACGACCGTGGGGTTTCTTTATTTTTACTTCTGTCTTATTTGTACAGTTTCAACCATGAACACCTGTACAACCTCCGATTGTCACTGTTACAATTGCTATGAAACGTCTGCATAGTTGCAGTTATTTGATCATGCATCCGTGGGCAGGCTTCGTATTATCGAACTAAATAAATAAATATTTAGTTATTTGTTTACAACTCGCGTTGATTCCCTGGTTGTGGTGCCGCAAGTATAGGCCGGATTTTCTCCTCAGTCACCTTCAGCCCCTCAGCACTTATACGGAGACCCAAATAATCAGCGTGAGGATGCAAGAATACGCATTTTTCATGTTTCAGTCTCAAACCTTGCTCCTTCAAGCGGCCCGGAATAACTCGCAGAATTTGTAGATGTTTGTCAGTTGTCGCCCCCGTAACCAAGATGTCGTCTAGGTATACGAAAGATTTAGGCAACCCTGTTATGACGTACTCTATTGTTCGCTGGAAAATGGCCGGAGCCGAATGTATGCCAAATGAACAAACCGCGCTGGGTACTGAGCGTTGTTATTGTTTTGGCGTCTTCGTCTAGTTCGAGCTGCTGATAAGTATGTGCGAGATCTCACGTTGAAAGATACCTGCTGGTACCGACTGCGCGTAAACATCCTCAATTTTCGGCATCGGGTATTTTTCAGCCAGAATACTGCAATTGTCGCTAACTTCACAGTCTCCACATATAGGAATTCAGCCAGCAAGTTTGCGTACTGGAACCATTAGTGTAGCCCACTCCGAAAACTGCACTGGCTCTATAAAGCCGCTCTTCTGCAGACGAGCAAGTTCCTCATCCACCTTGGATCGCATCATATACGACAGCGATCGAGTCTTGATGAATCGCAGTTGTGTGCCAGGTGGAATGTAGATATTAACTTGTTTACCGGTGAATTATCCTACCTCTGGCGTCTTAAATACTGGTGCATATTGCTGGAATAGTGTTTGTATCTCCGATGGTAAGGAAAGATGGTTTATCTGTAGAACTGGTGGTTAACTGATCCAGTCGCGGCTCAGTATATTTGGGGAATCTCTGATTACGATGTAAATGCTTCCTCTATTTGTCTATCCTTCATATGACGCCTCAAGATCCTGCACCCACAGCAGTTCCACTTCCCCACCCGTATATGTACGCAATCGCAGAGGCGCCCGACACCGTTTGAGGGGGCTCGTTGTAGCCAAACTTTGTGACCACCTTGGTTCGTTGCACAGCGTTACTGCACTACCCTTGTTAATTACGAAATGTTCCGGAATCTGGTTAACACAAAGCTTCTCATGAAATAGCGGTTGTGCACTTGGGGTAGTTGTGTTAAATATATATTCCTGTGGTTCAATAGCAACAAATTGGTTGTTTACTACCGGGAAAAATGAGTTTTGTTAAGTTTGGTCTTAAGCCGATAACCGGAACAGAACGCGCACGCGTAGTATTGAACCGAGTTATCAAAAGCATCTTGCGTTACAGTGGCTACAAAAGTCAGAAAAGGCAACCAATGAAAATAGGAGACCATGGCAAGGTCATTCTCAACCGATCAATTGAGGACCTGTGTTTAGGAATCGATACTCAAGTGCATAGATGACAGGTTTGGATTGGACAGACACATACGGGTCAAGTGTGCACTTTTTTGGCATTTGTTACAAAATGTCTGTAGGTTTGCTTTCACTGGGATGACTGTACCGCATGCCGCAGTGATAGTTGAACGAGCGCGTGGTGTTTTTATTATTTTTGTTGACCTCGGCCGTGACATCTTCAGCACATGGTTTTGAATCGAGCTGTAAATTCTGTAGTAGCTGGGTATTACTTTCAGCAGCCTCCACGCGCGTCGCAACATCATACATACTTTCCAATGTCAATGCGTTATCAGCCAACAGGCAGCGCTGAATACGAACGTTTTTCACGCCGACCACCGGAGGATCCTGGATTATGTCGTTTCGGTAGTTACCGAAATCACAATATTCTGTCAACTTCCGAAGCTCGGTAACAAAGGAAACAACTGACTCCCTCTCACCCTGGACCAGGGTATTGAATTTAAATCGCTGCATAATATCTGATTGTTTTGGATTATAGTGATTGGAAATCAGTGTGACAAGTTCAGTAAATTGTTTGGTACATGACAAATCGGGAGCGACCAAGCTGCGAGTTAATTCGTATGCTTTTGAGCCACGGATACTCAGCTGACGATTTCATTAGCAGCGAGAAAGCAGTTCATTCACTCGATGTAATGGTTCCAGGAACCGGATCCCTCAGTGTACTCTACTAATTTTCCGAAGGAGACCATGGGTTCCATAAGCCGTCGCCAGTCTTGTAGGTAAGAACACAGAAACGCAAAGGACAGCTGTAATGTGTACACTCGATCAAGTCACTGATTCGCTTGATAACATGGACACCTATTCACACGCATGAGTCACGTGCACGGCCGACAGACCGTGACTCGTGATAACCAAGCACAACCCCAGTAACATCCGAAAGCATAAATATGGGTATCGGAGAGATATAATAAAGAAGGTGGGGTTCTCATTTTTAAGACGATGCATGGCAGGGCCATTGTTATAAGCAGTGACAAGTATGACAGTGGAAAGCATACTAAAGAATGCTTCACAGTTTTGTTGTGCGCTGGTTCAAGTGGAGAAATCCGAAACCGTTGATCAAAAATCTGAAACAGCACTTCATGGAAAACGGCTGCCATATTTGAGGTGTGGGTAAAAAGTGTCGACCAAGAAACGATGGAGAGGAAACCGTGCGTTCCAGTGATAGTAAAAAATTGCCGTAGTTACATCCGGGTGAAAATCTCGCAAGTATTACTCTAAGCGACAATTTGTTTGGAAGTTTTGCGTTGACGCGTTTCCACCGGTTTCAAGAAAACAAGACCGGAGCTAGAATACGGTACTACTGGCAATCAATTAAAAAACAATTATGTAATACCTTGATAGTCTATGCTTCCGGCATAGACGCTTCAACAATGGCAACAGTCAAAAATAGCCAATACGTGTGGCTTCAAGACGAACGTGGCAATGAACTGGTCTCGGTGCATTGTGGCTTAAATCGGGCTTACGCAGGTCTAGTCAGAAAAAAGGGAGGCTACCATGAGTCGTAGGTGTGAAAATCCTCCCATTACACGCAGTGACTCCACCGTGTGCCAAATGCACACAAGAAGGAACAAAACAGTAGGCCTGTCAAACCAAATGCTTTCAAGGTGTGACCTTCACTCAGAACAACATTGCAATATTGTCAGGTCAAGTGCAGTGAACAGGGGTGAGCACAGTGAATAGATTGGAACATTATAAGTGCATCGATAACACATCAAGCGTTACCATTTGAAATGATAGTGGTTTGTTCCGAAGTAAGAAAAGTATTAAAATCTGAGTGAATATAGGTCATCCACATTCTCAAAGTGCAAACGTGATTAATCCAATATTGATAAACAACTGCACAAGGAGCCAGAGAAACGGAGCTTTTGGGACAAGGATAGGTTGGGTACATGGTAGAGGAAACACAGCCAGGGGAGCATTGAACGGGATGGAGGTAATACAGGATAGGGCATTCAGGATTCTTCTACAATTACACTGGAATTTGAGCCTCCAAGCATGACCTCAACAATGTAATCGCTGTACCAAGGCAGGGCCGAAATATTCACAATTCACTAGTGAGCCCAGCTGATGCAATGGGATAAAGTTAAAATGCATACTAATATTCTGCATGCGGAGGGAACTTCATCTGCTGCTCCTGTTAATGCTCTGGACGCTTTTCTTTGGAGGCTTGCCGTTCAACCTGAAACAATACGGAACGGCTATAAAAAGTTGAATTTCAAAGTGAAAACAGTGCTTGCGCTTTTTAGCTGTCAAACTTTAGTTGCATCAATGGGCATATCACGGTGCACGATAAAGTCAACAATGTGTCAGCTGTACGCCGTAACAGAGTTTCGCTGCCGCGCGACCACCACCAGTCGCGCGCGGGCTGAGTATACCGCGAGGAAGCCCACCCCTACGCGGATTCGAACCGGTGACCTTATAGTTGCAAACACAAACGTGCAGACCAATCGGCCACCGGCCGACGTATCGGTATTTGCTATTGACCGGGGTTACAAAAAACGTGTGGCATCCTCGGCGTTGCGCGGTAGCGCCGCTTGTCTTCACCTCGCGGCCCGTCCAGTATAAATCAGAACATGTGTGTCACCGCGAACAAATAGAATTGGTCTGGTGACAAGGTGATTGCCTCAGATTGTGTCAGAGCAACACAAAAGTTCTGCTCTGCCACAAGTAGACCAGACGTCGTTTATTTAGTACATGTCTGCGTGTGAGTGCCGAAATATTCTCCCACCGTAAGGCTTGATTCATATGACGGTGCTACTCATCGACATTTTGTATCCAATTCACTCAGCTTTCGAATCGGCCTCAGTCGATGCATTGAAAGTTGGGCGTCGCTTTTGCGGTGAAAAGTACCAGACGAATGCATAATGTTGTATGGCGGGGTTGTTTATGTTTCGCTAACGGGGTTGGCGGGTGCTGATCTCGCTTAGAGTTCGATTTCTACCAGATGCCCTGACTTCGTATATCCAACACTTTTGTTACTCGGACTGCTAATTCTGGGGCAAACCTTAATCGTTTCGTTCCAATTCCAGTTCACTGTCAAGTCCCGGAGAATCCAATATTTATTTTGATTGTGGAATCTGATTCTAGCGTTTTACAAATAGCAAACGCTTCTGGGGTTGTTAGCGCCAGGAAAAGATTGGATATAGAAATAGTCTATTTCACGATTCCTTCTCAGGAAAATGTATAGTTAGGTAAACAGTGTTTGAACTAATAAGGTACTGACATGGCCATTGCTTTGGTAAGTGTTACGGTTAAACTCTCTTAGCCCAGCTTACTTGCAGTTGCCGGACCATAGGCATGAGATATTCTCAACCTCCGTCACACATTAGGCAGATGAGGGAAAGTAACCTGGGTTACAGGTGGGCTCGATTGGATGAGAAGTAGGGAACGTCAATCCCATAGCTACAACGGGGACATCCAAGTGCACTTATGTGTCTAACTCATCCAGCCTCTATGAAATCAGACTGCGTGTTAAGCTTTTCATTGGAATAACATGTCAGGAAACGAACCTCAGCTGAGAGGGCGGCAGGTTTGCACCCGAAGAACATCACCAGGCACAATCAACATTCCGTCTCGGCCCTGAAGGGGTGAGTAGTAGACCCATGATTATGAATATCCGAGTAGTTTGTGCAGTTCACTCAGGTAGTAGGACCATCGGTTGCTAAACTCCGGAGTCAGGAAGCAAAAACTACTTCGTATTTTAAACAGATACTGGGTCTGTCTCTCTCCCATACGCTGGAACGGGTCTCAGTCGCTTTTTTAGCGATCGATGAAAAATTAACAAACCACCTAAACGCACGACCAAGTGGTAGTGTAACGCCAAACATTGAACTGTTGTGTTGTGAACAGTTGGCTATATAAGATGGGGCCTAGGGGTTTTCCGTGTGCCAGGAAAAACGGCTTAGATAGGAGGAAAGATGCTGGGTGCAGACGAGGAATTTTCCGCATCATAATTAGATATATTTAACATTGTGCTACACTTGTTCTACGAGAAAGTGGTCTTATAAAGGGACTTAGGCCACCGCTATTACCAAAAATGTTCTGATCACAACTTGTCTTCTGTTCGGATGATATGCACCTTTACACTGTCTTCCCACTGGTCACAACTACATCCGTTATCAGAACACGTAAAGCAGAGTAAACGATCTACTGACCGACGAAAGCGGACGTGTCGCTAATGCATCGTGTGCAGTTGCTGAATACTGTGTTTGAGTCCATGCCTAGTGATCCACGTCCAACGAAGTATTGTGGCCAAAGAAGTACAGAGTCCCTCGCAACCATCAACAACTGGCGCAAATCCCTGTTTCGTCTCCAATATAGCTGGTGTGGACGAGCACTTTGATGAAGCTTGTGGTTCAATACACTTCGGTCAATCAGTTCAAAGCTTCAAGTATATGGTACCTGGAGGGGGGCAGAAGTGAAAGAGCACTAAGTTTCTAAGCTATGAGATATCATCAGTATCATTGAGCAGTGTCCAAAGGCTGGAGTGACGGACACAAAAGTTTCGCTACCGGGCATGCCGCTTATCCGAAATGAAAGACTCCCAGTACTATTACAATACTTGGAAACAACAATGTACAATACCACAACAATCTGTGCTCCCGGCACAGGTGTATCGAAACAACGACAAGAATCAAGGGTAGCCGGCAAGTTGAGCTTCGAGTTCACGTAGAATAAGCTCAGCTCAACGTACTTTGGCTTTGACAGGCTTACACATGACCAATCGGAAAGTGAGGTTGCCGTGAAATGTGGGCATTCGGCCAATGCCTCACACACACACACACACACTCGCCGTGATGGTATTGCAAAAGTTTTACTTTCACATGGAGTAACATTTACAATTGTCCTAACGGACGAGGTGGTTTCCTGCATGTGAACTCTACTCACATGATCTTGCAACATCATCAGGTCACATGCGAAGTGAGGGATGTCTTGCTCAGCAGTATTCGAATGCCACGGCGACGAAGTTAAAAGAGCACATCACAAACTGGTAACATGAGGCGAAGCCACATGAAGCGCCAATTAGGTCTGTTCAGAACTTGGAAATATAGGTCAACGCATGCACGGTTGAATACAAGTCATCTGCGTGTTTAAAGTGCAAACAAACAATTAATTTTGGCTCGGAACAAGATCTCCATTGCGAGCCAGAAAATAAATATTGGTTAGGACAGTGAAAGAAGTTGGGTAAATGGTAAAGAGAATCGCAACCATGAGGCAGAGAGCAGATGAAGGTAATAGAGGATAGGACATTTGGGAATCTTTTACATTAGGAATGCTGCAATAGTTTATTAGCCTAAGCTGAAGTATTCATTGCGCATCTAAGTAAGCGCGGAACTTGTCCTAATATATTTATGTTTTTGTACTTTCAAGTAGGCCGGCAATTGGTCAATGACCTATGGGATAGGTATTCAGCTGAGCTGCACGTTTCAGGAGCGAAAGTGCCTTCTAAAATAGGGTAGTTTCCGGGTTACATTCACATTTCGGTTATCTTTCGCTGGAGAACGTAGACAACTACGAAACGGGTTTTTGATCTAGGCGGTAACTAGCACATTGTTGTGCGCTATAGTTATAGGTTGCTCTTCGACGCTATGCGCTCAGTCATATTGGAAGATAGGATAGTCAACCAAACTCAACCCTTTGGGGCTGCGGCAAAAGAGGGAAAACTGTTGGTAGAAAGTTTCTTGGCATTTATTATCGTTTAGAAGGATGCTTCCTCAATTCCATGACTGGGCGCATATGGACGTGAACGTCTATTGACCATAGCAACTACATGCTTAGAGCCAACCATCTCGACGACACTCCATTTGCCTACATGCAAATGCTCCGGACGCAGTTTCTAAATGTGCGACGACCATTTGACAGTCTTTCTATGCGCATCTACAGATATATCAGACATCGCACTCGTGCTAGGTTCGCGGTTGAATGTACACACTCATTTTCTCTCACCGCCTCCATCGTTTCACAAATCGGCGTAGACCAGAGCACCAATTAGTTCATTCATTTTATGTGCACATGGTGAAGTGAGCCAACATAGACGAACAGGGAGCAAATCGCCAACAAACTGGTCATGGCCGCGACCTGTACCTCTATCGTCAGGACAATGATTAGCATGAAGTCTCACCAGGAGGTCGTCTGAATCGACGAGGTCATAGCCTCCAGCCCCAAATCATGGCGGTTGCTCTTCTTTTGAGACGCATTGTAGGTAAGTAGACAGTACATGCATTCAAGTGGTCAGAACCGGATCCGAAGGCTGTCTGAACAAGCCGAAATTCGACCTGAACGGCAGTGACAGAAGTGCAGAAAGTTCAATCTGCATTCAATTTGGTAATGTCCAAGTGGGACCAGACGTCCGGACGAGCCTGAGGTCAAAACCCGTCTGACTGAATTAACACGGCAACTTGGTAGTAAACAAGTTAGAAGGGCCGGCCACCCAGTCGGTGTTTTTGAAACGCAATCGTCAAACTGATGAAGATGGTGGTTTCAAGAGAGCATCGCTAGGGCTCGAGTGGCAGGTAAGCTTACATGACTTTTCTCTTCATGAATAAATAAATAAATATGGTATGTTCTCAACAATGCTAGGCACGCCGACATAGGCATGCACCTGGTAAATCTACACGAATGTTCAGCAAAGGTACAGAAAATTGGCAAGTTTACCGCTAAACTTAAATCGATGTTGCATGAATGTATATATATATATATATATATATATATATATATATATATATATATATATATATATATGAAGGCGTGTATACATCCTTGTTGCTAGGCTTTGTAGCTGTGTTGCTGCAATCGTGCATGTGTTCGGTCGGATGGTCAGCGTCTGAAGGTATCAAAATAGGCCTTCAAGTAGCATGTCTAAAGTTTTGATTGGGCGACATCATGCGAAAACAAGCAGCAGTGACTTTGTTTATAGAAAAGTCATATCCACCCCGTCGCAGTGTTGTTAAACATGCACGTGTAGCAATTTATAGGCAAAAGTCTAGCCAGCCGGAAAATCACCACTTCTTAGAACACTGCTGTCGAAACTTTCGCTGCACCGAGATTCACTCAAACCGCCCATTTAACACCACTATTAGGAGAACAGCTATTAGACATTTATTTATTGTGACCGAGCTTGATATATATTCTTTACTCTTCCTATTTTCTATTCTTGACTGTTGTTTAAACTCTCTACTGGGTTCGCCCGATTGGTACATCCGCGTCATTGTTAATGGACGCTCATCGTCATGCCCTTCTCAGCAGCGCTGTTTGTAAGAGCATATTCTATTGGTTTTTTCTTCTCATCACTGTTCTACTTAGTTATGTCAAAGGAATATTTAGTGTCACACAATTATTGTACTAGTTTTCAACTTATGGGTCTGCATTCCTTATTCGCGTTTGTTTCGTGACTTTTGTTCAAACGTTTCATTTCGTCATTCTGATTGGCCAGTGCCCGTCACTGTAAACGGTCGTTCGCTTTACGCTTGGAGTCCAATGATGCTATTTTTAGGGACCTACGCGATTCACTCTTACATGCACGGTTGTTTATTCGCCGTTGCATTTTACGTTTTTCCTTC